AAGAGACTACAGCCGACAACTTTGGACCAACATGAACCACAAGTAGTGCCCAAACCGGATGACCTGGACTGACCCCGGACCGACTCAAATTACAGTTTCCAATTAGTCATTACGCCATAGCGACTGATACTGAAGTCCACCACAATTTGACGCAAATTGCAACAACTAATTATTGCCCACACTAGCTGACTATATAACTGTATCAGCACTTTGAAATGCTTACTGCTCTTTGCACATTTTTTCAAGTCTAATGATGACCTGGGGATCCAGTGTCGAAAATTTACTGAACAAATTTACTCATTTTCCCAAAGAACGCCTTTCTTTAAAATATGCTTAACTACCAAGTCACATGTCTCCAAGACTCTTGCATGCACTCCACGCCGTACTGTAGTTGCCCCTACCTTCTGACTTCCGTTTACTTTAACATCGGCCTCCAGGAGCCTGTGAACGTAGGGGGCATCGAATATACGAATGATCAAATACCTTTTTTTCCCTTTCACAGCCCTAGTGATGCCAGCCAAACGCCCCCTGGGAAACAGGGTCGCCCCCTCACCTGCAAACACCGCTGGAAACCGCAGGAGGAACGGTTTGCGTAAGTCCCTTTAGCTTGCAGCTAGCATATTCCTGGTTAGATAAAAAAACGTCAGTTAATTGGTTTCCTACTTAAAATGGCCTACGCAAAAACTCCTGTAAAGCGAATATATGGAAAAGTGGGCAAGGATTTATAGGGGAATCCCTACAGTGCACGCTAAGCGCGCTCCCCTCCAAGACGGATTTAGGCGGAAGATAGGGCGGGACGTATTGGGGAACAATTCAGTGCGTAGTAATCATGTAAAGTAAAAAATTACGCGGGTAAGTTGAGAGATGTGCGCTGATTTCGGGCAAGGACACTGAGGTACATTCTTAAATTGTATCACTATCTTCAACTAGAATAACGGCGGACGAATATAAAAGTTAGAAGATTGTGGAAATTCACCCTGCATAAAATTTTTAAAAATTCCATGGTTAATTTGAAAAGCCCTTTTACTTAATAAACGGTGCTAAGTGGTTATTGTACATGGTGGCCTTCCGAGGACCCCTCTACAGTTCAATATCATCATCCGTTCCCTACCGCACCAGCGGCCAGCGTGCGGAAAATTGGGAGATTGTGGAAATTTCCACCTACTTAAAATTTGTAAGTAAGCGGGTTGTGAACGTGTTCACCCTTTTAGAACCCTTCATTAGATTTCTGCCGACAAGTGTTCGCTTTGAATAGACTTAGCAAACATATACTGGTATATTTTTGTGCCCGAAGAATTAAATCGAAATTCTGCTTCCTTGTGGACTACTTTTGCCCATGAATCTTACGTCAGACCACTGTTTTACCGTTAAATAATCTCGAAATGCTAATATCAAACAGCTAATATCAAAGGTATTACCTAATGACGTACACAACAGCTGGTAATTTTCGAATGCGCGCGAACGCAGCATCACAAAGGAAATTTCTTTGATATCTAAACAGCACGGCTCAACCCAGAAAATAGAAAGCATATTGCGCGCTCCCGTCTACCTATCAGATTTACGGCCTTGTTTCTGAGTACGATAAAACAAATTGTGTCATTCTAGTTTTTTTTACTGCATTTTGGGACCAAAAGCAAAAAAATATGCTAAAAACCGAAATCATTTCTGGTTTCTGCTTCGATTTCTGCTAATGGTTTCGGCTTCACTTACATTTGAGCAAATTTCGAGTACATTTTCCGATTCTGAAAAGGGTATGTTTTGAACCTTCCTTACTGCTTTT